TTAGCATTTTAGGGTTATGCAGTACTGATTGGGGCTTAGCAGTTTAGGGTCGTGTAGAATGGATCGTGGCTGAGTAGTTTATGATTTTGCAATATGGACAGTGGCTGTGAAGTTTAGGGCCTTGCAGTATAGACCGAGGCCGAGCAGATTTGGGACCTGCAGTATGTACCGAGGCTGAATGGTTTAGGGTTATGCAGTATTGACCGAGGTTGAGATGTTTAGGGCCATGTTGTATGGACTGTGTAGTATGGACCATGGCTGAGCAGGTTTGGGTTTTGTATTACGGACAGTGGCTGAGCAGTTTAGGGTCTTGCAGTATGGACCGTGGCTGAGCTTTTTTGGGCCATGCAGTATTGACCCCGGCTTAGCATTTTACAGTCACGCAGTATGGTCCGAGGCCGAGCAATATTTGGTCATGCATTATGTACCAAGGCTGAGGAATTTAGGGTCATGCAGTATGGACCGAGGCTGAGCAGTTTAGGGTCATGCAGTTTGAACCTAGGCTCGGTAGTTATGGTCTGCAGTATGGACCGAGGCTCAACAGTTTAAGGCCATGCAATATGGACCGAATCTGAAAAGTTTAGGGTCATGCAGTTTGGACCGGGCAGAGTAATTTTGGGTCAAGCAGTATGCATCGAGGCTGAGTAGTTTAGGGTTGTGCAGTATGGACCGGGGCTGAGCAGTTTAAGGTCATGTAGTATGGTCCGAGGTTGAGCAGTTTAGGGTCATGTAGTATGGACCGATGCTGAGCAGTTTAGGGTTGTGCAGTATTGACTGAGACTAAGTAGTTTAGGGTCATGCAGTATGGACTGAGGCTCAACAATTTAGAGTCATGCAGTATGGACCGAGGCCGAGAAGTTTAAGGTCATGGAGTGTTGATCGAGGCTGAGCAGTTTGCGGTCATGCAGTATTCACCGAGGCTTAGCAGTTCTTACAATAGAGACCCAAGCAGAGCAAATTAGCATCATGTTGTATGGACTGAGGTTGAGAAGTTTTTATCATGTGGTATGGAACGTGGCTGCATAATTAAGATTCTTGCAATATGGACCATGCCAGTTTAGTGTTTTGAAGTATGTATCGTGGCTGAGCAGTTTAGGGTCTTGTAATATGGACCTTGGTTGAGCAATTTAAGGTCATGCAGTATGGACCGAGGCTGAGCAGTTTTGGGCCATGTAGTATGGATCGAGGCTGAGCAGTTTAGGGTTATGCACTATGTACCGAGGCTGAGCATATGAAGGTCTTACAGTATGGACCATGGCTGAGCGATTTAGGGATTGGCAGTACGGACCATGGGTGCGCAATGTTGGGTCGTGCAGGATGGAACGTGGCTGAGCAATTTAGGGTCATACAGAATGGACCGTGGCTGAGCAGCTTATGCTCATGTAGCATGGACCGTGGGTTTGCAGTTTCGGGTAATGCAGTATGGACCGAGGCTGAGCAATTTAAGGTCGTGCAGTATGGACCGAGGCTGAGCATTTTAAGGTTATGCAGTATGGACCGAGGTTGAGTAGTTTAGGAATATGAAGTACGGACCGAGGCTGACCAGTTTAAGATCATGTAGCACGGACCGATCCTTAGTAGTTCGGGGTCAGGCACTAGGGACCGAGGCTGAGCAGTTTAGGGTGGTGCAGTATGGACCGAGATTGAGCAGTTTAGGGTCATGCAGTATAGACTGAGGTTGAGCTGTTTAGGGTCATGTACTAGGGACCGAGGCTGAGCAGTTTAGGGTTATACAGTATGGACTAAGACTGAGTAGTTTAGAATCATGCAGTATGCACTAAGGTTCAACGGTTTAGAGTTATGTTGTATGGACCGAAGCTGAGAACTTTAGGGTCATGCAGTGTTGACCGAGGCTGAGCAGTTTAGGGTCATCCAATATTCACCGAGGCTTAGCAGTTTAGGGTCATACAATAGGGACCAAGCGGAGCAGTTTAGCTTCATGCAGTAGGGACCGAGGTTGAATAGTTTTTTGTCATGTGGTATGGAACATGGCTATGTAATTTAGAGTCTTGCAGTATGGACCATGGCTGAAGAGTTTAGGGTTTTGAAATATGGACCATGGCTTAGCAGTTTAGGGTCTTGCAGCATGGGTAGTGGCTGAGAAGTTTAGGGTCATGCAATATAGACTGAGGCTGAGCAGTTTAGGGCAATATAGTATGGACTGAGGTTGGGACTTTTAGGGTCATGCAGTACAGATCGAGGCAGAGCAGTTTAATGGCATGCTGTATTGACCGTGGCTGAGCAGTTTAGGGTCATGCCGTAGGGACTGATGATGAGAAGTATAGTGTCATCTAATATGGATCGAGGCTAAGCAATTTTAAGCTCATGCAATATGGACTGAGGCTGATCTGTTTATAGTTATGCAGTATGGACCGAGGCTGAGAAGTATATGGTCCTGTTGTATGGACCGGGGCTGAGCAGTTTTCGGTTTTGCTGTATGAACCGAGGCTGAGTAGTTTAAAGTCATGCAATATGGTTGAGGTTGAGTTGTTTAGGGTCATGCAGTACGGATTGTGGCAGAGACATTTAGAGTTTTGAAGTATGGACTGTGGCAGAGATGCTTAGGGTCTTGCAGTCAGAACCGTGGCTGAGCCGTTTAGGGCCATGCAGTATGGATCGATGCTGAGCAGTTTAGGATCATGCAGAATGGACCATGGCTGAGCAGTTTAGGTCAGCAGTATGGACCGAGGTAGAGAGTTCAAGGTCATGCTAGTATGGACCGTGGCTGAGCAGTTTAGGGTCATGTTGTACGGATAGAGGCTGAGGAGTTTAGGGTCTTGTAGTGTAGACCTAGGCTGGGCAGATTTAGGGATTTGCAGTACGGACCGTGGCTGAGCAGTTTAGAGTCTTGCAGTATGGACTGCGGCCGAGATGTTTAGGGTCTTGCAGTCTGGACAGTGGCTGAACAGTTTAGGGCCACGTAGTGTGGATCGAGGTTGAACAGTTTAGGATCATGCAGTATGGACCGAGGCTGAGCAGTTTAGGGTCATGAGTATGGACCGAGGCTGAGCAATTTAGGGTCATGCAGTATGGACCGAGGCTGAGTAGGTTAGGGTATTGCAGTATGGACCGAGGCTGAGCAGTTTAAAGTCATGTAGAATGGACCGAAGATGAACAGTTTAGGTTCTTGCAGTATGGACCGAGGTAGAGGAGTTTAAGGTCATGTTGTATGGACCGTGGCTGAGCAGTTTAGGGTCATGAAGTACGGATAGAGGCTGAGCAATTTAGGGGCTTGTAGTATGGACCTAGGCTGAGCAGATTTAGGGATTTGCAGTACGGACCGTGGCTGAGCAGTGTTGGGTCTTGAAGTATGGACCATGGCTTAGCAGTTTAGTGTCATGCAGAATGGACCATGGCAGAGAAGTCTATGGTCATGCAGTATAGAGCGTGGCTTAGTAGTTTATGGTCATACAGTATGGACGGAGGCCGAACAATTAAAGGTAGTGCAGTATGAACCGAGGATGAGCAGTTTAGGGTCATGTATTATGGACTGAGGCTGAGCAGTTTATGGTCGTGCAGTATGGACCGAGGCTGAGCAGTTTAGGGTCTTGCAATATGGAGGGAGGCAGAGCAGTACAAGGTCATGCTGTGAGGACAAGGGCTGAGAAGTTTAGGGTCTTGCAGTATCGACTGAGGTTGAGCAGTTCTAGGGTCATACAGTATGGACCAAGGTTGAGAAGTTTTGGGTCAGGTAGTATGAACCAAGGCTGAGCAGTTTAGGGTTATGCAATATGGACTGAGGCTGAGTAGTTTAGGGCCATGCAGTATGGATAGAGGCTGAGCAATTTAGGGTCATGCAGTATGGACCGTGGCTGTGCAATTTAGGGTCTTGCAGTATGGTCCATGGCTAAGTAGTTTAGAGATTTATAGTACAGATCGTGGCTGGGTAGTGTTGGGTCTTGCTGTAGGGACTGTGGTTGAGTAGTTTAGGGTCATGCAGAATGGACCGTGGCTGAGCAATTTATGGTCATGCAGTATGGACCATGGCTTAACAGTTTAGGGTCATGTAGTAAGGACTGAGGCTGAGCAATTTAAGGTCGTGCAGTATAGACAAAGGCTGAGAAGTTTAGGGTCATGCAGTACGGACCGAGGCTGAGTAGTTTGGGGTCTCGCACTATGGACCGTGGATGAAAAGCTTAGGGTCATGCAGTACGCAAACAAGGCTGAGCAGTTTAGGGTCGTGTAGTATGAACCAAAGCTGAGCAGTTTAGGGTAATGCAATATGGACCGTGGCTGGGCAGTTTAGGTTCATGCAGTTCAGACCGACGCTGAGTAGTTTGGGGTCTTGCAGTATAGACCATGGTTGAGCAGTTTGTGGTCATGAAGTATGCAACCGAGGCTGAGCAGTTTAGGATCATGCGGTATTCACCGAAGCTGAGCAGTGTAGGGTCATGCTGTATGGACCGAGGCTGAGCAGTTTAGGGTTATGTAATATGGACCGAGGCTGAGTAGTTTAGGGTCATGCAATACGGACAGAGGCTAACCAGTTTACGGTCCTGCAGTGTGGACCGAGGTTGAGCAATTTAGGATCATGCCGTATGGACCGAGGCTGAGCAGTTTAGGGGTATGCAGTATGGACCGAAGCTGAGTAGTTTAGGGAGATGCAGTGCTGACCAAGGCTCAGCAGTTTAGGGTCTTGCAATATGGACCGAGGCTGAGAAGTTTAGGGGCATGCAGTGTTGACCGAGGCTGAGGATTTCATCCTCCATGAAGGCTTTTTATTTAAAGGAAATCGCCTTTGTGTACCTAAGTGTTCTGTTAATCTTAAACTCATTTCTGAGCTACATGGAGGTGGCCTAGAGGGACATTTTGGTCAAAACAAGACCCAAGCTCTTGTAGAAGAAAGGTACTTTTTGCTTAAATTAAAAAATGATGTTGGAAGATTTGTTAAAAGATGTGGGATTTGTAAACATGCAAAAGGATGCACACAAAATACTGGTTTATACAACCCACTACCCATCCCTAGAAAAACTTGGGTGGATGTTGGCCTAGACTTCGGGATGGGACTTCCGAGAACAAGGCAAGAGCTGGATTCTATATTAGTTGTTGTTGATCAATTTTCACAAACTGATGGGCAAACAGAGGTCATCAATAGAACTTTAGGAAATCTCCTTCAAACCCTGGAGGAGATCGGCCAGGGTCATGGGATTCTATGCTGGCACAAGCAGAGTTCGCCTAGAACAGTTCAAAGCATCGTTCAACAGGCAAAAACACCATTTGAAATTATGTATGGGCGAACGCCATTGCACATTTTGGATGTGACACCGATATCAAACCCTGGACATTTTAATGCAAATGCTGATGATCTGACTGATCATTTGAAAGAAGTCTATGACAATGTTCACCGAAAGTTAGCCGAGGCATATGAGCAATATAAGGCTGCTGCTGGCAAAAGTCATCATCCAAAGGAGTTTAATGAAGGAGATTTGGTTATGGTGTACCTCCGTTGTGATAGGTTTCCAGAGGGAAAATATCACAAACTCAAACACTGGAAGATAGGACCATGTCTAATCCTGAAGCACATTAGGACAAATGCCCATCACCTCGAGTTACCTAAAGGTATTATGATCATCCCAATTTTCAACATTTCTGATTTATTCAAATATCATGGAGAAGCTTATACTATCAATTGAGACGAGGTTCGAGACCTGTGCAAGAGAATGAGTGCATTCTTGACATCATTGATACCTAAAATATAATGACCAGTCAAGGACAACTCACTCAATACCTGGTGCGGTGGAAAGACAAACCTGAATCTGAAGACGCTTGGCTAGCAGATGAGCAATTAAAAGAGAATAATTTGGAAATATGGAGGTCCGTGGTTGATAACTCGAGGACAAGTTCTTTTGAAGTGGGGTGACTGATGCATCCGTAAATCTAGAAAGGTTCTTGAGGATTCCACAAAAACCTAGAACCAAATTAAGTCATTATCCTAGGAAGTTTTCTAGAAACATCTCTAGAAATATCTAGCAATAAATTACTGTTTAAGGAATTATCTAGGGACCTTTTCTAAAAAATTATCTAAAAATATCTAGCAATGAACTATTGTTTAAGGAACTATCTAGGAACGTTCTCTATAAATTTCATTATAAATCTCTAGAAACATCTTCCTTAGTCTATGAATACGTCCAAATGGATCCATTTCCACCAACCAAGAATTGAGTGTTTCCTTTGAGCTTTTGTTGAGAGTGTGTAATCCATCTCCATGTAGTGAGTAATTCCCACGTGAGGTTGAGTGATTCCCTTTTATTCCATTCCTCCTTATTAAAAAACAATTGTATCTTGTTTTATATTGGAATAAAAAAATTAGTTTCATTTTATTGTGCCCTATTTCTCAATCATATTGCCTTCAATTACATCAATTTCAAAACATATCTACGTCCATAGAGATTCTATCTATTATATACTTTAACCTCCAAAAATATGTTCACACGCTCCTTCTTCTTCTTCTTTTATAATTCGTATTATTATTATTATTATTTAAAACTATATGGTTGCTATATATATCTACCTTTACAGACGGTGAAGATGATCCTTTTGGGAAAGTAATTTTGTGGTTCTTATTGGGGAATTGAACATGAAAGGGCATTTGAAGATTGTATTCCTGTTGTTATTTTCTAAATTTTCATATTAATTTTTGGGATTGTATACAACAAGATCATTTACCTTTTTTATAGGGAGGTTATAATTATTTTTAATTTTCCGATAGAAAATCTGATAGCTTAGGTGTGTCTTAAGTTAAAAAAATCGAGTCGGCCAAGGTACTCAGGCCTTGGCTGCGGCAATTTACTCGGGCGAGTTACTCGGACTCGCCTGAATCCATCTTTTCTTTTCTTTTTCTAAGAAAATGAAGATAAAATTAAGTTATACTACTTGAATTATGTGTGTTGCACTTAAAATCGATCTTTAGAAGAGCGACCAAGTATTTAATGACCAAGAGATCTATTAGGCAATAGTTAATGTTGGAGATCTATTAGGAAATAGAGTGACCAAGTATTTAATGACCAAAGAGATTTTTTAGGCAATAGTTAATGTTGGAGATCTATTAGGCAATAGTTCGATATTATATAGTAAAAAGAACAAAAATTATTTTTCTTGATTATTATTTGTTATAAACTTTTTAAAACAGCCATAGAACTTTTTTGGGTTTTGTGTTAAAAAATACTTTAATATGATACTGATATTTGTTTTGTTTATCAAAAGAAAAATGTGGCTTAAATGGGTTCTATGAAAACTTTACAAATTAAGGACTATACGATAAAAATAGTTGAAAAACTACTCTTATATGGAAAAGGAACTTCTCCAAGAATAATACTATTTTATGTTGTGAAAATTCTTAACAAATATGTTAATGTGCATAAAAAATTGAAACCATTCAAAATTCATAAATTAAAAATATGAAATATTTTTAAACTTTTTTATTTTAAAAATTATGGTGTTTAAAGAAAAGTTTTAAAATATGGGAAAGTAAAAGTAGACTAGAAATATCAAATATAAAAAATAAGAAACTTAGCTATAAACTAGTTTTTAAGCATAAAAGTACACACTTAAAAATTTGTAATTTTCAAAAAATATGAAAGAAATAATAAAATTGATATCCTTTTTTTTTTATATTTCCTATATCTTTTTGTAAGATAATAATTTTTTTAATATTTTTTAAGTGTTAATAGAAAATCAAGAATTAAAAATTAATTCAAAGTTTAAAAAAAATTTAGATTTTAAATATTTGAAACTGATTTAGTATTTTTAAGTGTTTGTTAGTTTTCATAACATAACCGCAAGGAAATGTGAAAAAAAAAAAACTCATTAAAGAATCATAAAAAAATTGAAAATCATAATTAAATGAAAAATGATTAAAAAAAACGAGTAACCAAATCACGGTTTTAAGCATCAAATAAACTTTTAGAATTGAAACATATAATATATTTGCCAATAATACAAATCCAGAAAAGACACAGCAAAATCCATATTTTTGCCCAATAATTTAACTCATTAACTCTCTCTTCTCTCTTTATGGAAACATGGTAAATTGATTTTTGCCATAAGAGAGGTGAGATAAGAAGGGCTGTGGTATATGTTACAACCCAAGAGCAACCATTGGCGATTGGGGACTATGTTTGGTCTCCTCCATACGTCGTCGAGAAGTGTAGTTAATCACCACTGTCCATAATGAGGACTGGATGACAGTTGTCTCCATGGTGTGTCATTACCATACACCACAGGATTATGATATGATTACTATTTTTTATTGCGAACAAATTTTAATCTCAATCATGAGGATGGTTTCTGAAAACTTACGTTGGCTCAAAACCCAATTCCCATAGTTAATTTTTATTACTCCAATAATAACTAAATGTAAATTCCAACAAATGTAGAGGGACAGAGTTATTTAGTTAACAGAGAGAGATGCATTGAGGCATGTAGAGAGAACTTGAAGTGATTGTTACTAACCATTTAACGTGACAAAGATTATAGTTGCTCTGCTCGGAAGGATGACTGAACAATACACAAAAACAATCGGGAGACTTCCTAAACTTCCACAGTGGGTTGGAAAGAGAGTTTGAAAGCTAATGGAGAGAGAGAGCAGTAGGACTTTCAAGCATGCCACTTCATTATTAGAAGGCATCCTAGAGCAATGTTCCGTGGAGAGGGAGAAAGAGGGATTATATTTCGGGAAAAGTGCAAAAAAACTCCTTAAAATTGACTTGTTACGCACTTTACCCCCGTCCAACTCTTTCTAGCAAATACTCCCATATAAAAGTTCATTCTTTTTGGACGAAAATACCTTTCTTTCAGATAACAAATTATCAACTTTTCCAAGCAAATACCCCATATAAAAAATCATTATTTTTGGATGAAAATACCCTTCTTTCACATAACAAATTATTTTCGTTGGAGAGAGCGGTCGGGCATTTTGAACAGGCAGTTCGACGATTATTTTTGTTGGAATGGCCGGTCCGGCATTTCATGGTGGTGGTCCGGCATTTCATGGTAGCGGTCTTGCATTTCATAGTAGCGGTTTGGCGATTAGTTTTTGCTGAAATGGGCGGTCCGGCATTTTGAAGGGCAATCCTGTATTTTAATATTTTGGAGGGGCAGTCCGGCATTTTGAAGTGAGCAATCTGGTATTGAACAGGTCTGGTGTTTTGAAGTGAGCAATCTGGCATTGTACAAGTGTGGTCTGGTGTTTCTTTTTATTGGGATCTGAAAATGATTTATTACATGAGGGAAGGGTACATTCATAAAAAAAAAAATTAATTTTTTGTATAGGGATACAGGCTAGGAAACATAATTTTTTTTGTGAGAAGTTGCTAGGAAAACTTGAATGGGGGTAAAGTGCGTAAAAAGTTCATTTTGAGGGGCTTTTTGCAATTTTCCCTTAGATTTCCCTTTAGATTATTGACATAAAGAATTTTTTTTATAATTGTCTTTGCATTAATAATTTATGATGCATAACTAACTAACCATCTCTATAAGACATTAAAAATTAAGATTAATAATAATAAAAAAGAGGACGAATGTTGTTCATCACCTTCACCAACTAAAAAAAGAACAATAACAATGATACGTACAAATCCAAAAAATAAAAATAAAAAAAATTCTTTTGCAATCAATAGATCATAATTCAATTACTAAGATAATTTGATACACTCAATATGCAAAATCATAACCACAAATATGTCAGCATTTGCTCTATATTAGATATGCAAAGCAACAATTCTTGTGCAAGAATGCATACCCAATGTCAAAAGCTCTAGACTCTTCAACTTAAGATCTAGGCTAAGCGACCTCAGATCTGAAGTCGCCAACGTCAGATCTGAGGCCGGGAAATTTTATGGGCTTACTTCATAAAAGACTATGTTTCCAAAGGTGCGCGCACTTCGTCGAGCGGTCAAGAGCACCCAAGTCTTTTGGCCCATATCGTACATTCACATTAGCAACTCTCTACAAAGACCCCATCTTTAGATCTTGCCACTCTTGTTTAGATTTATATATATATATATATACCTTCTTTCTTTTCTTCTTCTTTTTTTTTTTTTTTCCTCAAAACCTTAATTCAATCCCCAACCAACCTCTAATCTGAGGTCCGGAAATTTTATTACCCTCTGCCTCTGATTCGTGCCCACCATATTACACAAACTGCCCACCATATTACATAAACTGATTACACTGTGTCAAATCTTGGTGGTGTGTCAAATGTTAGTTCATCCAAAAAGTTGATCTCGGTGCTTCCAAAAATTTGATCCCTTTCAATTTAGCTTTTGGCATTGATGGGAGTTCGTCGTCATCTTTTGTTATATTGAAATTTGAGCTACTCCATACACTGATATCAGAAAATGCATGTGTTGCAAGCAGCTCTAGATGCCTTTCCTGCTGTAGTACATGAACTCGGTGTTCCTGTTAAGCTCTTCTTGGCTTGCATACATATTGCCCTCTTCATTTTGATTCCTACCATGTAGTACTCATTGAATTGAGCATACACGTTGTGCGTCTCAACGCCGGTACTAACACAAACCAAAAGAAGGTACCCAATGATTCTTCTTTGCTAGGAGCCTTGCTGGTGAACATGAACATGGGAATGACGGTAACTGTCAAATGGTATCAAATAAAGCTCAGTATGCGATGGCAGGAC